TTGCGGTACAAAATTGACCCGTTTGAATGATTTGTCAATATTGAACAATTGAACATACTCTACACACATGGGGAAACAGAGATGGCGTTGTCGTAGCATGTAGAAAAATATATGTTTAACGCAATATTCGGCTTGAAAAAACCACAATAATGGCTCACTTCTTAAAATATGACATTTCCATGAAAAAAGGACCATCTTTTTAACTTCACAAAAAAACACCATATTAATTATTTCTCGTCTGTTTTTGGATGTATGTTATAGGCGAAGGTCCAAAATACTTGAAACGAGCAACAATTAGTGAGAAGGTTTGAGAGAAAGTTGATAGAAGTCGACAAATCGGTCCGCCAAAGCATGATTTTGATGGTTCGACGCATACTGAGAAAAATCGATGACAATGGTCCGTTCAGTGTAAAGTGAATGTGCTATTCGATAGCCCATGAATAAAGGTTTATACCAATAAAAACGAATTTAATATTGTATGTTTGTTGTTCCAATGGCAACGTCTGAATTTATTCCAAGGACTTTTTACTCATATGTTAGTATTTGTAAATCGAAGAAAAAAAAATTAATTATTTTTTTCATTTTTCACGATTTTTTACCATCTGCATGGGAAGGCTTATACGAAACTCTCGGAGACTCGGTATAATGCACAAATGATTTAAAATAAATGAGATACTGGCCAGAATTGAAAATAAATTTGATACTTGAACGAATTGAAAATAAATGTTTTATTTTCAATATTTTTCAAGTATCAGATTTATTTTAAACGCGAGTTAGTATCTCATTTATTTTAATTCATCGTCTTGTATCGGTATTTTTTTAAAGAATGTTTGGAGGTCATGATTATCCTTACCCATTCATATGACTACACATGTATCTCTTCTTCACTGCGATGCGTTCACTTGGATGAAATTAACACAAAAATAGATTAAAATGGAGTGCGTAACTCATTTTGAGGGGTAGACTCTCTGCTAACACCGCAAGTGCGAGTAACCGTACTGGAATAATTGTTTCTGTGTATAGATACAAAATTCAATTAGAGTTTTTATTTTAGCCTATCCAGTTAAATTATTGTAAAACGAAGAATAAATTGAAAACTTGCCAAGAAATTAAAAAAAGGGGAAAATTGTTTCAGTTTGAAACTATCGCATAGTAGGGAAGAATTCGATTCGATAAAAACACGATGCGATTTTGTATTTATGGCTATTTGTTTGTTTCGAGGATTTTTTGTATCTTTTTATATAAAAGACATTAGATAGATTCGTTTTTTTCTTCGATTAGACATTGAGTGGATTGAGTTTCACAAAAAAAAAAAAAAAATACGGAAGTTATGAATTTTTAGTGATGAAAGAGATAAACACGGCAATGAAGCATTTATGCAAGTATCATTTGGATGTGATTTTTTGCCAAAAAGACATGCTATCAATTTTTGAAATGTCAATTTCGGTACAATATCAAAATAAATGACAGCAGCTATTGAGTATGGGAGAGTCTGCTTTGCTGTACTTTGATTTTTATTTTCGGTCTAATAACATGTCTATCAACTATCGTACGTCAATAAAATAATTTACTTGCAATATGAGTAGTATGCTGATATCGATAGAAATTTTATTTAAATCGACTACTTTGATGGAAAAGAAAAACATAATAAGTAATACACAAAATTGAAATAAGAAAAAAACCAAACTTATAAGCATCAATGATAAATATTAAATATATATATTAGGGTGGAACATTCTGTTGAATTTCGAGACACATCTTGATGGCCACTTAGGAAAACATGTCCTATAGTCCCCAGATTCAAGATATAAAGGAACTTTCAACTTTCCATTCCATACAAGACAGCGACTTGAAAGGAATGGGGGTACATTTTACTGGAAAACCACGAAAAATCCCAAGTCAGTATAATACTCTTTTCGAAGAGTGTACACGCTCTTCTCACACTCTTCTCACACTTTTGCATAAAACACGTATATTGTTTTTAACTGAGCTTCAATTTTTTTCTCTAAAAAATTTTCTTTTTTTTTCTTTATAATAAATTTTTCCAATGATGGATAATTTTTGATTTTGTTAATTTTTGACATTTTGAAAAAAATGAACGTATACAAAAAAAATGAATTAGCTGTTGCAACAGCAATTGTCGTTCTGTTGTATTTTGACACAGCTGACGAATGCTATAAACGTTCAAATATCAAAATACAAACATTACTTCCACTGGAATGCAGTGACAGCAGTGATAGCATTACCAATACCATTACACACTCTCTTCTCACTCAATATACGTGTTTTATGCAAAAGTGTGAGAAGTGTGTGAGAAGGGAGTCGAATAAAACTATACGAAGAGTGTGAGAAGAGCGTGTACACTCTTCGAAAAGCGTATTATACTGACTTGGGCACTGCAGAAAAAAGTATTTAATATTCATCATGAGCGAGAATATATGAATTGGTATACAAGATTCATATAGGTGAACGAGTAAGCAAAGTCCATAAACACGAAAATGAGAAAAAAATCTATTCAAGATTCCACTTTAATAAATTCATCCACCAAAACTATTTATTTTTTCATCCACATGGATTAGGACTACTCATTCATATAGAAGTGATTTGGATCAGTATCAATTTTACTAATTACCTTGACCCTCATCTTTCAATTGTTTAGGATTTGATCGCAACAAATCAACCATCTCTTCAATTTGTGCAGCAGTAAAAGCACAATTTTCAACCGGGATGTTTATTTCCGATAACACAGAATAATCACTATTCCATGCCACTGACTTTTCCGGTATAAAAAATCGTTTATTTTCCATAATCTCATAACGGATTGCACGAGGTATACGATGTTATTCATCAGGACATTCTGTACTGCACGACCGAAAACAGCACTTTGTTGACGAAATTCGAGCTCGGCTAATATTAAGAGTAATATCGCCGACCCTCTCTTACAGTAGACTTTCAAGCGAATCACTTTCTGCGAGCGCCATCTCTTTCACGCCCTTGAAAACAATGAAGCTTGTAAACTTCGCAAATTTCTCATATATAAATTAAATAAGTTTTGCAATAGTAGCAACGAAAATAATTAATAGAATTAATTATAAATAAAAAAATTGAAGTAACAACACACAAATATTTTATGTTATATGATTCTCGTGTTTTGACTTATGAGATAGCTTTACGGTGTAGAGATGACAATTGGAGAAAATATTATTTTTGTATATCTGTCAAAATAAACAACGCAAACAACTTGAAGAGAATATTTTTCAGATTAATTATCAGTATTATGCAAATAAAAAATAAAAAATGTTGCCAGTTCTTTTTTCTTCAAAAAACCTTACCGCAAATCTGCGATTCCATCCAAGAAAAATATTTGTGTGTTGTTGTTCCAATTATTAATTATTTTCGTTGCTACTATTGCAAAACTTATTTACACTGTGGGCCCAGTCGGACTAAATTGTATACTTTAAGGATTTTTCTATTGGGTGTATAAATTAATTTTTATCGCTGACAATTAGATGTCGCCACTTAAACTTGTATGAAGTTTGACAGTTGAATCCAATTGCATTTTGTACATGTGACATTTGCCTATCTAATTCAGAGCAGAAAGATTTATTTTTGACACAGTGTCATTATTTTCTGATCGATTCAAAATGAGCGATGAAAAAGTGTTTTTCTGTCTGGTCTCCTTTGGTTCAATTTTTTCACTTTGAATAAAGTGAAAATACATCTAAAGGTTATAAAATGTTGCAGGAGACGAGACCTCTCATTCGCCACAGAGAATATTGAATTTGGTGAAAAAGAAGTGGTGAATTTGTTGAAAGACTGTGAACTCACCAAAAAAAATTGAATGATGGGCTGTTGGCATTTTAAATTCGATAAAGATGCATGAAAAAGCATCAGAAAACATCAGAAGCATTAAATATATGCGAATCAATCCTTTTAAGACTTCTATAATGAGGTAAGACCAAAGGAATTTTGTGCCATACCAGTTGAATCCAAAACTAGTTGTAAGACGTTTTTCACATTTTGGCACAATGTTCCAAAAATAGGAGAGAAAGGAATTTTTGTATCGTATTGTAACTGGAAGTGAAGAGGGCATCTGCTACGATAACCTCAGGCATAAAAATAAGCGTTCAATCCCACACAATCATCAAAATCGATTGCATAGCAGGATTTTGATGATTTCTCGGTAATGCTCATTATTTGGTGGGATTAAAGTGGTGTGGTGTATAATGAGCTGCTGAAACCGGGTGAAACTGTCACGGGGGATCGGTATCGACTACAACCAATACGTTTGAGCAGATTACTGAGAGAAAAATTGAGAAAAACTGCGACAAGAAATAGTCGAAGGATTTATCAAAATTTGACATATTTCAAACATCGCAAAAAAAAAAGATAGGGGACTCTGGTCGGGGTGAGCTTGATCACCCCCCGTACTCTCCAGACCTTGCCCCTTCTGACTACCACTTGTTTCGATCAATGCAAATGGGCTTGTCTGAGATATCGTTTCGAAATTCTGAGGGAGTGCGAAAATGGGTCGATCAATGGATAGCTGGAAAAGATGAGGAATTCTTTCGACGCGGAATCGACAAGCTGCCAAGAAGATGAGCCGAAGTCATAGCAAACTATGGGCAGTACATTGGTTAATGTACTCATTCTTATTATTTTTAAATAAATGTTTCCTTTCACCAAAAAAACGATCAAAATTAATTTATACACCCAATATATAAAAAATCCATATGGATTAAAAAAATCCTGAGGGATTTAAAGTCAAAATATTAAAACAATACTCAAAATTAATAACAAAATAATGAATTCATTTTGTTAGTTGTCATCGATTTTACGGAGCAAAACATATAATGCAAAACGAACTGTAGCTGTCACAGAAACAATATATGTACACAAGCGACACACGTACAAGCCATAAAAACAGAGAAGAATATGCTGAGCGAACATTCTAATACATGCGCTCACTACTTAGCTTCATCACTGTGATACTTTGAGCGTACATGTGATGTTTATGTATTTGTATTTTTTCTGTGACAGCTACAGTTGACAATTTTGTTTTGCTCCGTAAAATCGATGACAATTAACAAAATGAAATCAAAAAAAATAATTTTGAGTATTGTTTTAATATTTTGAATTTCCTTCAGGATTTTTTTAAATCCATATGGATTTTTTATATAGAAAAATCGTAAAGTATACAATTTAGTCCGACTGGGCCCACAGTGTAATTTATACAATTTTGAAATAAAATTAGAAGAAAAAAATATATGAGAAATTTGCGAAGTTTACAAGCATCATTGTTTTCAAGGGCGTGAAAGAGATGGCGCTCCTTCAATGGAGTCATCTTCAAATACATTGTCAATATAGGACGCAAGAGAGGGTCGAATATCGCCCACGAGATTTGCATTTCCTATATGTCTTTCATAAAATAATAAGTTTGAATAGTTGCCGTGGCGAAAAATTAGGTGCAAAAATGCTTACCGCATCATGATTAAATTATTATTTGAAAATTTTTCTATTTATTTTAAACAACACCCTCAATTAAAATGCGTAATATGCTAATTAAAACGTCACACTAAATCAAATGGTGATAAGCACCAAAGCATTGTGGTGACAATAAACAATAAGTGTGCAAGTTCATGGTGCATTTCATACTAGGGGGTAGACACAATAGAGAATGAATGAATACCAATGAATAATAATACCTATCTATTTTCAAATACGACAATTACTTACTTATTTGAAGATTACTTGTACTAAAAATGTGAATACCGTGATTACCAAATGTCAAATTGATATCGGTAATAAAGATTTCAAGTTTTTTCCATTTCGTTTTAACATTCACCATTTCGAAATTTATTGTAATTTTTTCTGTTTTCTTTCTGTTATTTTCATCAAAATTGTTTTTGCATTTATTAAACCACTTGAAATAATACACTTAATAGCGTTGAAAAAGTTTTTTTAATATTTGGAAGATAATAATTATATATGCACATTGTGAGACGTTGCTGAATGCATTGACATTTCGTCTAAAACTGAGAATACCAAGAATACCAAGAATACCTTCAATTTCGGTGAATATATCTCAAGTAATATTCCATGTGTCTACCCCCTAGATTTCATACTCATGCGACATCATGAATAATAACGAAATATGTTCGTTATTCATAATTGCAATTATGTATAAAAAAATAAATGCCCAGAAAAATTAACCCTCCGTTGTGCAAAAGGGTCTGGCCAGACCTTTTTTGATTTTAGTTTAGATTTTAAAAGATTTTTAATTATGTTATTGACTTGAAATTTCATGACTTCTCCTAAAATTTATTTAGCTACATTTTAGAAAAAAATTAAGGACAAAAACATCTATAAAAGGATTATTATAAGGACATTTCAATGTATGCCTTGCGTACGTGCGTATGGTTCTGGCCAGAACCCAATATATCTTATATGTAAAATGATGTATTCTGGGCATCTTCTCTCACTTTTTGTGTCATATTTAGATAACAATTCATTCGAAATGCCTGTTATACATAAATAAATGTATGCACATGCGTGCACGTATATGTATTTACACGCACACTTGTCTGTCCACATACAAACGTGTGTAAGTATGATCGTGCTACTGCGACAAATTGTTTATGAATTTTTTTCATTGCGTTCAATTACAATCGATAATCAATTTATTGCGTTGTTTGTTTATTGTCGATCATCAGTTTATAAGTAATCGTTGAACAGGTTGTGCGCAACCTATTTAGTGCTAATAAAATACGCAGAAAAGTTTTGTCATTTAGTGTCTACGATAAAAATGAGTGACGATATTGAATTTCTTTACAACACACACCAAAACGACGATGATTTTGATCAAACATTTTATTCGCGGTTGGAAGCAATTTTTGCCCATGATATAAATGAATATCATAAGAGGATCGGAGAAGATTTGGAGCCAATATTTATGTCTGGTGATGAAGGTGATGAACAATACATCCCATGTGAAGATGAAGCATCCGATATTGAAAATGATCTCTTAGTCGAACCAAACGAAATGATTGACAGCGATGATGATGTTGATGACGATTTTACCGAGGAAATTCAGCTGGAAACAGTAAGTGAAAGCTTTTTTTATGGGAAAGACGGTACAAAATGGCATAAAAGTGAACCAAACTCAGCTATCAGCCGTATTCGACAACACAATGTTATGCGTTTTCGTTCAGGGCCGAAGGAAGAAAATTCCATTCCAATTGAAGTGTTCAAAAAATTTTTTACGCCAAACATTGTGTTTATCATTATCTCACAAACAAATCGATACGGAAAAGATGCCGTTAAAAAATGGAATGAGGAAAATACTAATAAAAAGCCAAGAATTTGGGTCGATATAACTGAAATAGAGTTAGACGCGTTTATTGGAATCCTTTTGGCGGCTGGTTACACGCATAATAACATGCAAAAGGCAAGCACTCTTTGGGAAACAGGATGCCTTCCAATATTCCGAGCTGCAATGTCATTCAATCGATTTGCTTTATTGGCACGATATATTCGTTTCGATGATGGCCGTACACGCGCATTTCGTCAACAAACCGACAAAGCCGCTCCTATTCGCGATATTTGGAATATTTTCAACGAAAACCTCGCCAAAAACTACAGCCCGCACGAAAATATTACAATTGATGAACAGCTGTTTGCTTTTCGCGGCAAAACTAAATTTACGCAATATATACCATCCAAACCAGCAAAATATGGCATCAAAATTTGGTGGGCTTGCGATTCGAAAACACATTATCCATTGCAAGGAAAATTGTACACAGGACGAGAAGAAGGAGCACCACGGGAAATAAATCAAGGCGAAAATGTTTTGCTACAGCTTGCAAATAAATACAGTAATAGCGGTCGTACCATTGTTGCTGATAATTTTTTTACCACATTGGATGCATGCAAACGTTTGGCTACGATTGGGCTCGGATTTGTGGGAACTATTCGATGCAATAAAAGATGCATTCCCAAGGAAATGAGAAAGGATTCGAAACGTCATGTTCTCTCATCTTTATTTGGTTTCCATGAAAATTTGATTTCACTCTGCAGCTATGTGCCGAAAAAGAATAAGTGCGTAAACTTGCTTTCAACAATTCACTATTCGAAAGAATGTGTAGGCGAGGCTATGAAACCCGAAGCGATTTTGTTTTATAATGCGACTAAGGCTGGTGTCGATTGCATGGATCAGATGGCTACTCATTTCTCTACCAAACGACCAACAAGACGTTGGACTTTTGCTTTTTTTTGCAATATTTTGGATATTATGGCACTAGCTGCATATATCATCTGCAAGGAAGTTGACGGCACCAATCAACCAGATGGTAGAAGAAAATTCCTTCATACTTTATCCGATACATTGGCTCTTCCAAACATCGAACAACGAGTGAATAATAGTTTATGCATGAGACATTTCAACACTCGTTCGGCCATGGAATCATTTTTTGGAAAGCCAATAAATGTAAGTATTCAAGTGCGCTTGAAATTATATTCGCCGTTCAGCGCAATTCAATCGTTTTCACTTCAATTTCATTTCATCTAACTTCTTTTGTTTATATTTTGTTCTTCAGACTAATCCAGAAGTTGTTGCTACGACTAGTGGAGCACATACACTCGCAAATAAAAGAGACTGTAAAGTTTGTTTACAAGGAAATGAAAAAATACGCCGAAAAACTCGTTTTTTCTGCTCAAGATGTGCTAGCCCCGTGTGCCAACAGCATTCAAAAATTGACTACATTTGTTTTCTCTGCGTTCCGAATAATCATAACATCATATGATCGTATTTCATTTATAAACATGATTCAAATGCTTTAATATATGAATAAAATGAAACAAAAAACAACTCTTTTCCAATCACCTTTTCTTACTTTTAACATTTTCACCTGTGATCTATGTTCAAAACATGCTGACATATCCAAATATAAAAAAATTACAATAGAAATCTACCTGGAAAGCTCTAAATATGATCAAATGAAGGAATACATATAGGTAAATACAGGCAAAATATATGGGGGTCTGGCCAGAACCATACGCACAACGAAAGTATACGGAATGTGTCGCACAACGGAGGGTTAAAAAAAATATATTTCTAATTTTTTCTGCAACTCTTTTTTTCTTTTGGTCGAAAAAATTGAGAATTTAATTGCCAAAATGTTCATTTAAAACAGATTATATTATTAAAAACTATAGTGAAAATTAAAAATGGAGTAGATTTTGTTTTTAAATTGCATTTAATAAAATAAATATTCGAATTTTTTGCAAATAAAAAAACATGGCGAGATTTTTTCGTAGAATTTTTATTTTGCAAAATTATACCGTTATATTTTAACCACACATGTTGTCATATGTGAGCCCCTGAACACATATGACGGAATTCATACACATTTAGGTGTATCACATTTAAATATACGTAATATGTAATAATTCGATGGCGTCTCCACTCCACCATGCATGACAAAATAAATGACGCATGAGAAAGCTACTTTGACAAGTCTGTCTGTATGTTCACAATAATGAAAGTGACAGTAGAGAATTTACCGTGGTGAGTCATAGTGCTCTTTACCATTTGTAGTAAATTTGTTGAGGTTGATCGATTTTTCACGAATCCATGTTGATTGTGGCTGATTTGCCATTAATAAATGTGTCGATTTTGTCATAGACAACAATTTCGAATAATTTGGCTATTGTTGGTATGATCACTACTGGCCTGTAATTCACTGCATTGCTCTTTTTACCAGCCTTGTAAATTGGCACAATTCTGGACTTTTTCAATGCATCTGGAACACATCCTTGTTGCAATGATTTACGAAATAGCGCTGTTAACGGTTTCGACAATGAGTGTGCGCAGTTCTTCAACACTTTCGTTGATATTCCATCTGGACCGGCTCCTTTGTTCGCGTCAATGAATTGCAATGCATTTAACACGTCGGCTTCAGTGATTTCAAAGTCAAATGATACGTCTCCGCATTCATCCAGCAATTCATCCAAGTCGATAATGTCGCTTCGTGTATACTGATTTTCGAAAAAATCAGCGAATAATTCCGCTTTCGATGTGTCGGTGTTCGCTGTCACATCATTATACTCAACGATAGCTGGAATATCGCTCCGTTTTCTTCGATCATTCACAAATCGCCAAAAGTGTTTTGGATTTGATTTGATTTGTGATTGTATGCGGCTGATGTACGATTTAAATAACTGACTTTGTAATTGGATGAACGAATCCGTGATTTTATTGTATTCGTCGAAATTGCTAGTCTGCCTTGCTTGCTTGTATGCTTTTCTTCTGACATTTTTCATGTGCTTCAATTGTTTCGTGTACCATGGTGGATCAGTGCCACTTTGAACGGTTATCCTCGGGACATATGAATCCATCGCCTCGTGTAGAACATTTCCAAAAATGTGAAATGCATTCTCGAGGTCATCTATTCGATTATTTTCTGACAAAATGTGATTTCCAAGGAAGAATGAATTCATCGCATCGAAATCGGCCGAGTCATACGCATAAATTTGTGAAAACTGCGGTGATGTGATCTCATTTTCATCAATTTCAGTAATGTTCTTTTGAAGCCACGTTTCGAAGAAAGAAATTATATGAAATGGACACGATTTTGTTGCTAATCGTACCTCATCTACTTTGTCCCGAATTGAATGTGTATTCTGTATATACACATTCAGTTTTGTGTGCTTCGAGACTATTTTTGGCGAGTTTTTTGTTTGTTTTCGATGCGATGTCAATGTTCGTTCATCGTTTTGTTCGATGTGGTCTGATTGTTTGATTATTCGGTGAATTTGTTTGGTGATATGGTCAAATCCATTAAATCTAGTGCCGGTGACTTGCTGATGTTTTTCGGATTTAATGACGGGAAAAAATCACCCAAAGTTTTGTTTTGCAAGAACTCACGCACAAGCACATCCTCTTCCCACACTTCCGGATTTATCAAAATGTCAAAATCGTCTTCATTCAATTCGATTTTGAACGAAACGAACTTCAATGTGGTGACATCTTTGTCTTTTTTCACCAGTTTGTGCACATTGAATCTCGATTGTTCGTTTACCGATGTGGTCATTGAAGCCAGAGATCCAAATTGCCTTTTTAAACACCGGTTTTTCAATTCGTTTCGGCTTGACTACAACATTCAGACGATGTGTGGCTGATTTTGTACCCACTTTTGGCGGTGGGGCTTCAAATTTCGTGGTTTTGACTTTCGGAATGCGCGGTCGTTTGGCCGATTGAGTCTGTGCACCACTTCGTAATGCGTCAGCGAATGATTTGACGGGGGTATGAACATACGATTATTTTGAGGCATGTGTCAGTGAAATATTGCGCGGAACAATTTTCTTTTGTGTCGAATCAGTTCGGGCGCCAAAAATTGTGTATCCTCGTGTATTTCGGCTGCTTTGCCATTTAATTCCGAAATCATGCCTTTAATTTTTGCTAATTCGGATAAAATCGACGAATTTCCAGCATCAGATTTTGTTTCGGCAAATGTTTCAGTCAATTTCGATTGACGTACCTTGGGTGTAGTTACTTGTGTCAATTTTAACTTACCACCCGGTATAACTGATGTTGACTTTTTTTCCAGACCACCCGGTACATTGAGTTTCGCGCTCCATTCATCCGTTGACAGCGGTTCACAACAAACAAACACAGTGCAAGGCATAACTTCAAAGTACTCGATTGTTTTCTAATAAATAGTCACTAAAATAATTTTCTCGGTCAGTTTTTAATACATAAATCGCACAATAAATATTTTTAAAAACAAAAAAACGATAGACACATAGAGAGTGTAAACATTGTTGAGAGTGTAAACACATTTGACAGTTGACAGTTTTTAATAAAATGTAAACAGGAATTCAATCCAAGTCGGTTGATTTTGCTTCGAAGTTCATTATAAATTATAGTTCTGAACAAGTGTGCATTTTCTAAGCCGGCTATTTTGTTGATGTGATATTAATGGTTACTGGTTACGTGTATTTGTGTCGGAACGATAATCTATATACGCCAAATTAAAATGTCACTTGCTTTTGCGAGATTTTGATTCGTTTCAAATATTTGGGCTCGAATCAGGTGTACACACAAATGAAGGCAAATAAAATGAGCGTACAAAACCCGTTTATATTGTGATTCTAATTTAGATATCTCTAATATCAGAATTTATTGTTAATTGAACACGAAGGGCAATCGCAGTTGTGCTGCTCTCTGACATTTATACGCTCAACCCTATGTAAAGACATTGCTTTCCTCTTCTTCTTCATTTACAAGAAGCATGTGCGTTATAGCAGCTTAACTTTGAGATACCAGGTGGCAGCACATCTGCGCTCTCGAAACCCAATACATTGCTTTAAATGGAGTGCGAGCAGAGCGTGATTGAACGTAACTACTTTCGTTTTGGCAAAGCTAAAACTAAGTTGCGACGTATAAAATATTATTTTGAACTAATTCATTCATCGCGTTTGAACCGTTTTCCAGTTCGTTTACTACAGAAAACAAAACAAAAACATGGAGCACAGTTTTAATGAAATTCCTCAATTTATTGACGCACTTTACAAAAGTTATTAGATTTAAACGCGATAAATCGCCGATATTATTTAATATTATACAATTTAATGTTTCGCACCCAATTGCAACGTGAAAATGTAAACGGTAATTTCAACTGAAAATGTACTTACACATATATTGTTGAAAACTCAAATAAATAAAATATACTGAACATTTTTGTCATTGGTTTAACTAATAAAGTATAAATTAGATGGTGATTTTTGTTAGTTTTAAATCTTCGTCGTTTGGCTCATTGGATGTAGATTATGATTTTTTTTTGTATTGAATCGAAATGAGAATTCTATTACAGTATAAAAGAGATGTGATGATAATGATAAAGTAAAAAAAATCTATCTGAGCGAGTGGAAACCTTCAAATGCAGAGAAAAAAAATTGAGACACACACATGGGGCGGAAATGAATGAGACGAAATTTTCTCTCTCATGGGCGCAGCCATATTGAAAATTTTGTATGCGCTTATATGTAAAATTGGTGGCGCCACTGGTATATTTGATGGAAAAAGAAGAACATGTTTGAGTCTCACTCGTTTATATGTAAATTACATAGGCATTTCCAGGCCATGGACACACATAAATGCAGCGAGAGAGTAAGTCTGAAAGCTTTAAAGTGAAACAACACAATTGGAGTTACTTTATCATTTTTTTTGTGGGTAACTTGTCGACTATAACATGTCTTAAAAAAGTACAACCCACCCCTGCACTCATCCATTCAGATTCAGACGAAAACAAAAGCGCCGAATTTTGAGTAGAAAATGGGAAGAAAAAGAAAGTATACTTTAAATATGAATTTTGCGTTGTTTCTCATCTTCATTAATGATTATGTGCTGCTCAAATGCAAATATTGTTTTCAAGTATAAAAAGCCGGGAGTAAACGAGGGAAAAAAGTACGCACGATTACAGGTGTTTTAATTTGAAAATAATTGAAAAAGAGTGGCGTCAACGATGATTACGCAGAAAAAAACAATGGAAATAAGCGATGTAGTTGTTTTATTTTTTCAATCAACAAATGTGCATTTGCAAGTGGCGCACCCACATGCCGAACCTCAACTGATATTCAGTGTAAACACAAACACGCGTTGATGCTCAGTATGTGGTACTGTAGGTGCACCACTTACAATTTCACATTGAAAATAACAACAACACAAGTGGAGCAGAATTGAAACAAACGAACTGAAATGGTATACACAGAGAAAAGTTTTTACCAACACATTGTGCTTTCGTGTGTTGAATACCTTTCATAATATTGTCATTGTTTGACTTTAATTTGACGATTACGATTACGAGCAAGTCTCTCAAAGTTAAATAATTGCTGTTGTTAAGTAGCTTGTTTTCGAAATGTAAATAAGGTGGTCGGTTTGATGCTGATATGAGTTTTAGACTCAATTTTCATTTCTCATTGGAGAGTTCATACCCTCATAAAAAGTGTTAACAACGAATATTAAAATGATAAAAATGAGCCAAAAATTAACTGAGCAGGAGATGATCATTGATTTTCTTTCTTTTTTCAGTTAGTTCCAACTTTAATCTCCATCAAATGTCGATTTTCATTTATTTAGCACTTGCAATGAAAATTTCAATTATGTCACAATAAAAGCAAAAAAAGAGTTTACAAGAGAAACGCGAAGAATTGTTTTCAATAAAAACAATGTTTGAGAAAAGTTTTTTCCGCTACAAAAGAATTTATTACATTTTTTGTATCGTTTATGACCTTCTACGGAAGAAGTTCTACCTAGTGAATAATCTGCGACTCACAAATTCTCAACAAGCTATCCAAATTGGACGAAGCACCAAAATTCGTTCACCTGCTCAAGTCGAAGTGACTTGTGTTGAAGTCATGCGAAACAAATAATGTCTTGTTTGTTCTTTAACAAGCGACGATAAAGTGAATATAAGATTAACAGATCAGAACAGAAAAAGGAAATAGAAGCATAAGACTGGGTGTGCTATTGGTTAATTGGAATCTTTAGTGGAGTGACTAATTAACTTTTTCTGGTTTATATTTTCGAAATCTACAAACTTTAAAGTTTAATTTTTTATATTTAGTTAACGTTCATTCGGAATGTTGTTTAATTACACTTCAGACATTTAAATGGGGCACTTGATGCAAATAACAGAAAAAATGTATATATAAACAAGTGGAAAAATATAGCGAGAAAAAATATTTGTGTTATATTTACAATATCAGCAGAAATCGTGAGCGTTGTGCAGGATTAACATTGCTTAATCTGAGGAAAAGCTAAAGTGTAATTGAATGTTGGCACATTTACAATTGGGAAAGCTTTATCGATTTTAATTTTTTGATCAAAAAAGTCTTTCTACAAAATGAATATTTTGTTGAATGGCTTTGTTTTCGTTAAAATTCCATAAATTAAAATTATAGACGCGAAAGTGAAAAGACTTCTTTATATACCATTTGAAACTCAAATTATCTGAGTTATGATTTGGATTCTCTTTGATCTGGTGCAAAGGGCATTACCAATGGAAGCAGATAAATCACAATTCAGAACATTGAACATAGAATGCAGTATATTTTTTGCTCTCCTAAAAACAAAAACAACTTTTTTTCTGCGACGTCGCCAATAAAAATGCTTCAATTCGAATCGATCCAGTAAAACATTGGTTTTTCCTATAATGCAACGATACACGATAACTGTAACAGTAACAAGACTAACAAAATTTCCATCTGCATACAACTTGACGAAACAGGATTTTTCTGTTTCTGTCATACATATATATTTTTGGTTTCAAATCGATTGAGTGAATAAGATTGGAATGATTGTGTCAGCGCATTTGCATTTCCATCAGCATGTGCTT